CAAACACACACACCCACAAACACAACAAGACACAACACATCCACACCACAAACACCAAACAAACACACAACAAACAACAACATCCACACACAAACACACACACACAAGGACACACATTCCACACCAAACAAACCGACACCACACCAACCACACAAACCAACTCCCCCCCCACACAGACACAAGACACAACAATACCACACCACGCACAACGCTCACTAACGACAAGAAAAAGAGGAGAGAAAGGGAAAGAATAAGGAAGACAGAGGATGAGAGAAAAATGAGAGAGGGAAGAAAGGAGAGAGAGGGAGAAAAGGAGAGAGAGAAGAGAGAAAAAAGGAGAGAGAGATGGAGAAAAACAGGAACGAGAACAGAGAGAAAGAAGAAAGGGAGAAGGGAGAGAAAGGAAAAGAGAGAGGAAGAGAGAGGTCAAGGTCAGTCTGAAAGGAGTTTACAGTCATAATGGTCTTCATCGGTCAATGAATGATAATGTCATCAGCAAAAAGTCTAGTTCTAGATTGAGGGGCGGACAGTGGATCACATATGTAGAGTAAGAATAGGGGAGGGCCTAAATGACAAACACTGAAGACGACACAACCGGAAGAGACAGTGACTGAGTTGGAAACAGTAATGTCAAGTAGAACACATTGGGTTCTGTTAGGAAATCTGTGATCTAGTGAAGTTTATGTCCAGCAATTCTGTAAAACTGTAGTTTTTGAGTCAGTCTTCTGTCGAAGGCTATGGCGAACTATAACACTACTGCGTCACACTGTTTAACGTCATGTCTGTTTAGGAGTCAGGAAAGGTCATGATGAGTAATCATGAGTTGGGATTCACATAATTGCTTGGGTAAGAATCCATGTTGCATATCAGCTAGTATGTTGTTTGTGTCAAGATGATTCATCATAGAGCTTTTCATGCTGATAAATTTTGGTATAGTGTTGCCCTTTACGTGCTCATTATGAACCAACAAACGTCTTTTCATTTTGTATCAAAGTCTTTGCTTCTACCTTGAACACCTCTGGACCAAAGAGTGCAATATTTTCCAGATATATTTCTCGCAGGCACAAATAATATACTCGCATCATGTTTCTTGATACAAAACTCTATCTTAAAGGTGCATTAATTGTTTCCCATTTTAACAGGACATCAAATACATGTTCATTCAACGTGGGTAAATTTGAAGTCAAATCATGATGAGTCACCTGAAAGAGAAAGAGTCGAATCATGGATGTGCAAATTAGATTTTGGTGGGATGAATGTCTCAAGATCATAGGAATAAATATCACAGAACAGATATAATAATAGATCAAATTAGCAAATAAATACCATATAGAATATGGAACTTAGTGTTTAAAGAGTTTTGTGTGCTGTGTTCTGACAAATGTCTTTGAGTCAAAGCATTGGTTCCAGAAAATTATGAGATTAATACCTGCAGAAAAATATTAAAATACTTCCTATTTAGTCTACGGTGCGGTCTCGCTTGGTAATACAGAGTAGATATATACACCTTAGGGTTATTCTTAATATAATACCAGCAAAGACATAAGATACCGGAAAATCTACGGGCACCGTCAGAAAAGATATTAAAACACTCACTAATATATGAAATGATCTACAGAGACAAAGAATATATGTCGCGACAAATCCTGCGCTGAGTCAGAGTCCAAATACGCTCACTGCGGTGAGTCGAAAAATCACTCACGATTATAAGTCCACGCACACCTTTTCAAAGCACTTCACCCTCAGAACTAGCCCATGTAAGTCATTGTGACGTCACAACAACCACTTAACATCATGATAACTACTACCAGTATTTCATATGTATTACAAATTATCTGAGAGTACTTTTTTTATTTTGTTTGCACTATTCACTTTATAAAATCTTATTATATATACGTAATCCGCCCATAAACATATTTACATTACATAATTAGCTACAGATAACGTATATTTTGTTTTTTCAATAAACACCGAAGTACCTTTGATCACACACTCTAATGACCAGCTCTTAACGAGTGTCTGACCCAGCTTTTAAGGGTTCATGAACTGGGCCATTCCTTCTTCCCCGGCCGATAGACATGGAAAAGAGCTTCTGTAGCTTGTTGTGATTTTCTGTTTTGGGGAATTTTCACAAATATAGTGATAATATAGAAGGACTTATCAGACTGCCAAGAGCACAATTTGATTTTGAAAAAATTAAAGTGTGAAAAGTGTAACAGTGACTGTCATTTAGACATGACTTCCTCCTCGCTGCTGCTCTGCTATACCCTCCACAGTGAGGTAAGTGCTTATGCTCATGATTAGGTTGTAATAGGTTAGGGACATATGGCGATGGGAGGGGGTCCAGGGGCAGAGCCCCCAGTAGGCAAATATGGTGATGGGGAGGGGGTCCGAGTTAGGAAGTTCTTTGGTTCATAAGGCTATCTTTATGATAGATTGCACGTTTATGCCGGATTTGCTTGCTCATTCATTACCGCAGCACGGTATCAAATATAATTTACATTGTGAAATGCTCAGGTTTTTCACTTTTACACTTATAACCCCCCCCCCCATAAAAAACTTACCAAGATTGTTGACTGGAGTTAGGGACTTGGTCTCCGACGGGTGCAGTTATGTTGGAAAGAATTACCACTGTATGTTCTTTGGGCATGAGGTGAGTATGTGTTATTGTCCTTTTTAGTGAATGAAGAGTAAGTGCTAAAAGTGTACTTGTTTTGATGCAGGAGGCAAGACGTAGCTTTATGTGGCATTTCCAATGGAATGTTCTTACCCTCTTGGGGGAGTGAGTATGTATAACCTCTCCATCATACACATACACATGTAGCTTACAATGCCTGTTTAAAGGACAACTAATGACAAGGAGAGACAGAAAGAGACAGATAAACAAAGAGACAGATGATGATAGAGGATACAATCATAGTGATAACTTTCTATATCTAAATAAAATGAAAACTCAAAAACAATCACAAAGCAATACAAACCGAGAAAAGTCCAAGAAAACACGAATGACGACAAAAAGTTACCCCGAACAGCAGATACCTGTTCCTCACCTCCTCCTTCTTGATCTTCCTCCGCTTCAGCTCCTGGACTTCAAGATCTTGCCCAAACTCCTTCAGAACCGCTGCCCTGTAAGTCGACGCCCTCCTTATACCGGCCACCTGATACCCTTGCGTCTGTCTGAGGGGAAGGGCAGCGGAAGAAACTGCTTTGGGGGCTAATCGACACAAGTGCCTTAGTGCTGTGGCGGCCATCTGGGGGGGAAATAGACTTATGTCATGAAAGATTTCGAAAAAAAAACTCGAAAACCCAGCGCAAAACGGAACCACAGAATCGCTTTCTCTGGACACTCTCGTTTCGGTTCTCTTTTGCATATCAAAACTTTGGTTCCATTGCCAACTACTGAATTTCGTATTAGCATTGGCACGTAGCAATGCTTCTCAAAGGCTGTGTAAAATAATCTAGGTGAAATTACACTAAAAAAACGGATTAAAAATGCATTATTCCCATCGCTGTCACGAACCTTGCCTTTCCTTGTTATTGTGATTCCCAC